GACCTTTCGGTCAAAAAAATCCAGGATTTGATTGCCTGAGAACTGAAAATTGAAGAGGAACATCTTTTTCGAACTTTTCTCAGGTTATTTAGACGAAAAAATGACCTTGGCGGGCTCCAAAAGAGAACGAAACAAAAAACAGAACGAGACAGTGAGAAGAGCCGATAACTTATTCAATTTGTTCACCACCTTCGTTACGTTCAAGTTAAAAAAAGCTTACTTCTGGATAATCTCAGCCTTACAAGCCAGCAACTGGTCCCAAATTACCTTCTGTATCCTTACAAATGTCCTGACTTCCATCTCTGAAAGATTTGGCCGCAATTTTTGAGCAAAATTAATAAACGTTTCGCCAATGGCAATCACCATTACAGTGGCTTGAATACTAATTCGCCAACTTTACAAAACCCTTCAGAGGGGTGGATATGACCAAAAGAGCTGAAAAATGATGGCTGGAAATAGGGTAATTTTCTCAGCTTCCGGTGTGCCGCTGGAAATAAATTCAAAACCGATTTTTGTTTCGGTTTTTTTTTCCTTCGGGTCACTCATGATCCTATATTATGCCATTTGCCGGAACTAATTATGTCATCGGAGATTTCACAATGGCTACGACTGATGGTGCAATAATACAGTTTGTGTTGATGAAGTGATGTTAAAGATTCATGGCACTACTCATAGGTGCGTGACGAAAAAGGAAATTCATATCGTGACAAGGACCATGACAGTAATCAACAACCAAACAGATTAGTGTAACTAAGCTTGAGCGACAAGTTGATCACGTGAACATAGAATACATTTACAATAAGGAATGATCTGTAATTCAGAGTAGAAAAACAACGTGTTCGGTGACGGTTGAGATTTTTGGTGAGCTTTGTGACGAATAAAAGATTTGGGACGAGACTAGTGTTGGGTGAACTGGTGATTTCCAACAGTGATGCGGTGTCCACGGTAATCAATGAATCATCAAGGACTGCTTTGGAATGTGCACTTCGTTGCGACTGTAGTGCTAAGCAAACAGTTACATTTTAAAAGCGCGGTTATAAGATCTAACAGATCTTCTTGTTTAACACGGTCAGCCATTTGGAAGTTTTCCGATGTGAGAGAATCAATACAGCAAACAGCACAGCAAAGCAAAAGGACGGATTGGCTTCTTTTCTTATGTTGAATGTTTTAGAATGTTGAATGTTAAATGTTTTCAACATGATTTTCTAGAAGGACATTATGTGTGACAAAATAACCGTTGTTGGTGGTCAACACAGAGAAATGTAGTCGCCTTTATGGGGACTAAACCTTAATTTTTGGTCGTCAAGGATGAAATGTTAGTTGCATTGGTGACCAATACGGTTGCAATTTCGAGCCCTGGGATGGCTTTTAAAATACTATGCCTGTGTTAAGCCTGCAGCCTTGTGAAAAGAAAGGGCCAAATTGGCCCTTTTTTTGTTTTTCTGGGGGCCATGTCTGATTGCAACGCAGGATTCCTGCGATGGTGCCGTCTGGCGGAAACACTGCATTAGCATGAGTAATTGCAATGATTGCTAATACTTTACATGCAAGTAACTTATATTAATATAAAGATACTAATGGTAACATAAGTAATGACAATAACACTAGCACTAATTACATTTTTTGACAAATCTAAACATATATTCTTAACATTATATTAATTTACAGTATTTCCCCTATTCTTTAAAATCTACATAGAGGAAGAGAAGTAAAGAGACGAAGAGGAGGAACTGTGTGTTATAAAACATCAATTAATCCTTTCGATTTTATACTTGTATTCTATTTTATTGATAAAATCAATAATCTGTAGTGGTGTTGAGTTATTTTGGGGCTTACATTTAGAAATATAATAGTGTAGTAAGAGATGAGTATAACTCAATTTCTTTGTTTAAGCGTGTTTGATGCAGAGAAAATAACAAAGAGAACATCTTCAGCATTTAGAATGAATAGGAACTATTATTTACATTAAACCATTGATAGTAATACTTCTTGAGTGAAAGATTTTGTGAACTGGCACTCAATAAAGGTATGATCTAGTATGGAGTCTGATTCCCTGCAATAAGCACAGTTGCTATCTGGTTTGATGTTAAATTGGAATAGCTCCTTTTTTGTGACAACAACTCTGTGAATGAATTTGAAGTGGAATTTTCTTAACTTGTTTTCCTTGCATACTTTTCGAACTAATCTGAATATCTTTCCCAGTTTTTTTTTTGTCTTCTGTAATAGTTTTGTTCCATTGCCTTAGGCCTGCATGCTGATCATTATATTTCAGATGAATAATTAGCCAATAGCAGTCTTTTAACTGTACCTTGAGCAAATTTATACTTACATTTTCAGTTAGATGGAAGACATTCCGGGTCCTCATGACTAATACTTTTAGATGTTAAATCCTTGGATTTTGCTTTTGTCAGGAGGTGACC